GCTGTGGTATCAGCGATGCACCCCACGGCTGTAGTGTCAGCGATGCCCCCCACGGCTGTGGTGTCAGCGATGCTGCAAAGAAGAATTACGCTGTTTTCCTTTGGTGGGGAAGATATGGTTTCTTAGTTGGAAGTTGCTTTTACTGTCTTATTTTGGGACTTTTTGAAGTAAGAATCTCAGAGTTAGAAAAAGCTATATTCTGATGTCGTTTGTTAGGTGTGGAGAGGATGTTAAACTGTTAATAATTTACCTGATTAGGACATTATTTCTTATCTTTTCTGTTCTACCTGGTTTATATCGTGGATGGTCTTACATTGTTTGAGGGTTTAACTGTGCCCTTGTCTTCATTTAGGAACTAACTGATTTTCTGGCAGAACAGTAAATGACCCTTTGCTGTTGAGTTGATTCTGACTCATAGCGACTCTATAGGACAGAGTAGAATTGCCCCATAGGGTTTCCAAGGAGCAGATTTGAACTGCTGACCTTTTGGTTAACAGCTGAGTACTTAACTACTGTGCCATCAGGGCTCCAGAACAGTAAATAGGTAACTTTAAACTTTATAGGGTACTTCCCTTTAGAGCTCCCCAAATGCAGTTACGTTTTCCGTGCTCTTTTGAATTCTGTGTCGTATACCTTATTTTAACAGAGCGACCTCTTCAAGGAAGCCCCTAAGGACTGGGAAGCCCCTGCCTGTGTTCATGAAGGTGAGCATGGATTGGGGCTGATTCTGCCGTGTGGTGTGCCCCATTCAAAGTGAGTCTTTCCCATTAGGAGATGTAACACTTGAAGTTATTTGTTTCTTTGCTAGGCAGGAAGCTGTTGTTTTTTTCCCTTGATCTGGTTAAAAGCAGTTCATTTTCACTAATTCATGTTTTGGTAAAAACAAAAAGTTGCATCTGTAAAACCACGTCACAGTTTTGCCTCATTGTTAGGTAAGAATGGAGAAAAAGCCTGACGGGAAAGGCATACTGATAGCAGTGTGGACGATGTTTTGAAATTAATCAGGTTTAACGCAGAGAAACGTTTCTAAAGCCTGCACGTAGAGTGGACATGGTAGTTCCCCAGTCTGGGTCTTAGTGACACGGCTGCCATAGCAAAGCCATGAAGCGGGTGGCTTTAAAGAACCGAGATTTATTTTCTTACAGTGCTGGAGGCTAGACGTCCAGATCAGGTTCTCACCGTGTCAGTTCCTCCTGGCATCTTTGAGAGAGGAGCTCGCCGTGCCCTTTCCTAGTCCCTGGGGGCCTCCCTTTGCTGCTTGTAGATGCATGTGCTGTCTTCCCCTGTGTGGGACTGTTTCTGTGTCTCTTCCCGCCTTTCATAAGATGCCACTCAGGAGGGATTACGATTAGGACGAACCCTACCCTAGTGTCACCTCATTTAACTGAGAAGAAGGAGAAGTCCCTATTTCCAAACAAGGCCACATTCATAGGTACAGGGGTTACGACTTCAAATCTCTTTTTGGGGGGACGCAGTTCAGTCCATAGCACTAGATATGCATTAAAATCATCTGAAGTTTTTCAACAATACAAATTCAAAAAAAAAATCCCTGAAGATTTTATTCCACTAGGTCTGAAGTTTATCCCTTAGGTTTGTGGTGGTTGTTGGGAATTGGGAATTAGTCACTTTGAGTGAGTCAGCATCGCCAGGCCACACATCGTCAGGGTTTGGACCACTTTTGAAGCTGCTCGTTGTCACGCTTGCGATGCTGCGGCAGACTCGACTGTCAGGCCTTTTCTGCGCTCCACTGCTTGGCATCTTGCCAGCAACTTGCCTGGTTTCCCTTGCTATTAGTGTCTGGGCTTTTATGACGTCTCAGATTTTTTGCTGTTCTTTTCTATTTGGTTATT